ACATCATGTTTTGCTTTATAATTATGTTCTATACCTTTTCTTTGCAGTAACTGTGAGTGCTTTCTAATAGTTATGGCTATTTCCCTCTATGTCCCAGCCCACAAGGTCTTACTGATCTCTCAGCATTTGGCTCGTCCGCTGGTCACGCAGCATTCCAAGACATTTCAGATATAGGAAGCACTGGCACTTACTATTTCTGTAAAGAGATTAGAATTAAATCAGTAGCAGGGCATACACTCCCCAGTATGCTTGGTATTAAAATAATCTGTATCTAATCAATCTACATATATATATTTCTATTTTTTTTAGTATCCGAATGTGTGTGCTTCTTCTAAATGTGTACTCTGTACTCACCAAGAGCTTTGGAAGATGATTTTCATGCAAATAACCAAACATATATTCAGACTTTGTGCACACAAACTGAAACACATTTTGAAATATTTAAAAATTAAAAAAAAAAATTAAAAATTAAAAAATATTTCAGCAGGGCCAGCTAGAAAGCAGCAACCGCAGAACATTTTGTTGCTATTTGACGTGATTTTTTAAAAAACAGAAGGAAGTTTCTCTTGCCTAAAAAGGAGGGCCAAAGAAATCACAGGGCTATTGTGGAAGACAAAACATGGCCAGACATGGCCACTTACATTTCTCTTGACCCTGTAGCAATCCTTTCCAAGTAATCCATAGACCAAAACTGCTACTACTGTTACCCTAACTACTACAGGAATATCCTGTATTTTCTTTCCTTCATCATTTTTCCACTGAGTTAATGGCCAACAATTAGGAATGCAGGACTCTAAAATACACATGCACACATGTACTTCTTGGAATACTTACAGAATTTTTCTACCCATAAAATTATTTTTGTAGGTACTACATGACACGGGGGAAAAAAAAAAAAGAACGTCTCAGAAGGGTAAATGAGGTTGCAGGCTCTGATATAATGCATGACTGGCAACAGATTTACTTGTACAATAGAATACACAGGTAATATTCTCACCTTAATTAAGGACAGCCAAAGCACATCACAATTCCTTTTTATTTCATTGGTTTTCCACTTATGCTAAAGGCCCCACCTTTTTAATATTTTTCTGCAGTTGAAGCATATGCCTTTCTGAACTCTGACTTTCCTTTTTGTAAAATGTTAATATTTTTATTTTTACAATAAACTTTACCCATTTGGGGTTTTTTTAAACTCCATTATGAAGAGAAATGCCTGTTTGTTACTGATGATTTTTATAGCAATTATTGGTACCTCCCATACAGAAATAACCCAAAAGGCTCATTTATTTAAACCAACTGTAATCACAGAACACTGATCTATCACAATTTGGGCCACAAAGACATTGGTAGTTCACTAACGCATTTAAGCAGTTTTGATGAGGCTTTTTTAGGCACAGAAAGGTCTTACAGTAAATACAACTGTCTACAGATCATTCAGTTGTTGGGTGGGCGGGGGAAGCCTGCTAGAACACTTAGTTATAGAAATGATTTTGTAAGTTCTGGAACAAATAATTTAATTTCTCTGGACATCATACTATTTGTACATGAGACATAGAATAGCAACTTTCCATGAAGCTTTAGTAAGTTTGAATTACAAGTGGTGGAGGGAAGGTAACAGGAACCCCAGAGTCTCAAAGCAAAAGTGCTTTGCAAGAGGCAAGTACTAACAGAACTATTAACAGTCATATTTTTCACACATCAGTGGAAATTTGGTTGTATCATTATTCAGAAGAGAGTTTGGAAAATTATTACAATTTTTAAAAGTTTACATTGTCAGTAAATGTAACAAGACAGTTGTTACACAAAACAATTAGCACTCTCTTATGTTGCCATTACAGAAAAATAATCTTAGAGACTCAAGCCACAACATGTCTGTGAATCATCCAGAAGCTCAGCCATTTACTGGATTGTCAGTTGCCATGCCACTGGCAAAGCTGCAAAGCAATTCTTAGTCTCCCAACCAGAGTATAAAGCGAAAACGAGCAAAAAAGACAGAAAACCAGCAGCATACCTGTAATTCTCTAATTGACTTGGGGTTGGGAGATCGTCAAAATCTTGTCTTCTCAGTACAGCTTTTGGAATTTGTCCACTCCAGACATCCTAAATGTAGAGGATCAGGTGGTTACACAGAGCAAAATGGCAGCAAATTACAAAACCAGCTCATCAGGTCTGTTAGCAGTCTTGGGTGTAAAAATATTGTATAAACCAATTTATCAGGTACAAAATATATTCTTTGTTATAGACACATTTTCAAATACACAAATTCAATTTATCTAAAAGACTCAATAGAAGAAAAGTCTTTGCATATTTGGATAATGCAGAAAATGGACCTCTAAGATATAACAGAGAAACACCCACCCAGGTAATAAGTAAACCAGGTATTAATGGGCTTATCAAGGCCTGGAAGTTTTGTTGAGTCTTTTTATCATTAAACATTTCAGAAAGATGCCACTCCATATGTAGCAGTGGATTACCTCTTATTTACACAAAACTGAGTCCAAAATTAAACCAAATACAGTGATCAACAATTAAGAATTGAGTATTGTCATTTAAAGACTGGCTGCTGTCTGTCTTGCCAAACATATTGCTAAAGGAAGAAGGAAAGATGAAGAAACAAAATATTCTGTATTGTTCACAAAACTATGAAGTGATGTTCATTAGCTAAAGGTATCTTTGTTTAAAAATATAATGACCTGAAGTAAATTTCAAATCAAGGTACCCTCAGGAGAGACGCAATGTTCAGGGTAGTCCATCTGCAAGAGCTGATGCTACCAGATGCAGATTTTGGTTTCCTCTCCGGCCTCTCCCAGCCAGCTTTGGTGAGGGCTTTGCAGACTGCAGAGTGGTATCTGCACCAGCCCACCTTGTTGCCATGAAAACAAAAGCTCAGATTATTAACAATGGGCTTTTTACAAGCTCACGTGACCACCACATCTAGCAAGGAGATGAGGCAGTCAGGAACGTCCCACGGACTGCCTCTGGGCTGCAACCTGCAGTCTGGAGCAAGAGCAAGTACTAAGTGCTGCAGCCCTTACCCAAAGCAGTCCCTTTTAGGGTAGGTTTTCTTCCCAAACAAAGAGTGTAGGATTTGGTCTCATTCACAGCTTGAAAATTATAGCATCAGTTGTACAAAATTCAGAGTTAGTTAAAAATTCAACAGCACCATCTCCTGGTGAAGGTAGGCTCATGCCTTACTTTTTCCCCCACTGCATTTCCAAGATAGTAGTACTTCACAGATATATTTAACAGCTAATAATGTATCAGACCGGATTATTTTCTTTCTTTTCTCAGACAGCCTACAATGTCTTCTTCTCAGACATTATACACTCCTTACATATGTAAAATAATCACTTAAAAGTATCAAATGAGGAAATTACCCCCCCACACCCCCCCAATATATTCCCTTTCACCTTTCTGTTTCATATTTCCCATTCCATTTTTCAAATGCATTTATCCATCTTTTCTTGCGACACCCACTAGTTCAAGTGATGATCTCTACTATCAAGAACACCTTGCCTAACGGAGGAAATTGGCATGGCAGAGCTTTAGCCCAGTCGAAAAGGCAGTGTCTGGCCCTTTGGGGACCAAAATTCAAACCCCAGATTGGAACAGATCACCTTCGTAATCCTGTAAATGACTCTCCCAGGAATGCTGCAAGGGTCCCAGGGAAATTTCTGTAACAAAGGTGATGGAGGCAATTTATTTTCAGATGTTATTTAGGGTATTTACTCAGGAAATGGTCAAATATTCTAGGCCCAAACCTAACTCAGTTGTAGGCAGTGAATTTTAAAGAAATGTGGCTAGAACTCTGCCAACAATGCTTATGTTACGGACTACAAGCAGTTACGTACTATCATGCATAGATGATGCAGCTGAGAGATGACAAAGATAAACAATACATTTGGTACAGCCATATCCTTCTGATCATCCTACACTCATCCCCCCTACCCTCCAAAACCGGCAGGGGAAAGCATTGCCCACAGCATGAGAAGGAAAGAAGAGTCGCATTATTGCAATATAACCCATTTTATGAATTTTCATTCCACCTCCAATTGAATAAAACGTATTTGAAACAAACATTTCCAATTTTCATAAAGTTTTAATCTGAGACTCTGGGCCTGCAGAATTGTGTGACGTTTATTCACAGAGGGTCAGATTCTCAGCCAGTACCACCCGGTTTGTCTTAATTGATTTGTGCAATTACGCTGCTCTGCACCAGCTGGTGACCACATACATCTTCATTACAAAAGAAAGCCTGATTTCTTGCCTCTAAAGTAAACAACATAGATCAAATCTTTACTAGCCCACTCTACCTGTAGCCTGACACATCTTGTACTCACAAAATTTACTTTCGCACATACACAAATAGAATATAGGAAGAGGCTGAGTCCAGGTCAGCTAACACACTGAGAACAGCCGGTAATGGAAGGATAAGGAAAAAATATGAAAACAGTGTAAATATATCGCAGTACTATCAATACATCAGCGTCATTAATTGACTGAGCTGAAGTGGAGTCTGTGGCTGCATTTGCAGCAGCAAATAAAGTGGACTGATGGAAGCAGGACCCCGCATTGACACTTCGTGCACTTCAGAAGGGTTTGTTCTTTGGCCTATGTCTGGTTTGGCCAAGGCACTGAACGTTCACCAGAGACTGAAGCATACACTCTGGTTTAATCTGAAGGGGAATCTGTGCATTCCCAGGTTGCTCCGAGACGTGGCCTGCAGCACAGTAACCAGCACAACCAGGCAATTACCTACCTAAAATCACACGTCCAATCCCAACACCTCCGCCTCCCTCAACAAATGTCAGATTTTTTAAATAAACTAGTTACACTATGAGTACATACTGATGGATTATGCATTTTTTCAAAAAGCACCTTTTTTTTTTTTGTTTAAAACTTCTGCCTGATTTCATTTGACATTTCCTAGTTCTTACATTAAAAGCAGGGAGTAGCCATTTCTCACAAAACCTTTCCTCATACAGAAATCAATACCAAGGACCCCGAAATTCTCAATATACTACATTGCTTGCTGAGATGGGGGCTCAAAATTACATTCACTAGTCAAAATGTAGGCATAATTAAGATTTGTGCAGTGGTATTACAATGCTCCATCTATTGTTTTCGGTTTCTTCCTAAAATGCCTAGCAAAACAAACTTTTTCCGGAAACATCTATAACAATCTGTAAAAAACAATGCCTAGCAAATTCTTGAACGAATATTGCTTTGGCTGAAAGCCCAAGAGCACTTCATTTTACAGCAGAGGATGAGACTGATTCTTAGCCTTGGCAGAAATTGCTTTACAAGAGATCCCAGAATCACACACACAGGACAGAGAAAATAACATATACCTCAGTAAAAAAAATTGCGTGATCCTTCTTCAGATGTAACACAGAAGTAAGACGTACCAGTTCATACACATGCTTTGTGCTTCCAGTTAACAGGGATTTCCCCTCTGGTTCCAGCTCACAGCTGCTGAATGCCGGTACTTCAGGTTGTGTGATACACACAACACCTTTACCTGGGGCTTTTAAATTCATTTGAGACAAAGATGCAGAAACGTCATTTGCGGTTTTCACTTGGGCAAGTTGTTCAAATGAAGCCGATTACAAACCCCAAACTATTGACTTTCTGTTACGTGCTGGTGCTTTACTGAATGCACCAGGTTTGGAGTAGGACTCACGGAAGGGCTGCAGAGGCCATCAGGAGGTTTTACTCATTTTAGTGCCTACTTCGGTAACAACAAATAAAACCAATGCCAATAGGCCTAAACAGCTGTTAGCTACAGATTTCACAGTATGCCCATTTCTTTCTCTTATTAAGATTCTGGAACACAGCAAAAGCGAGTGGAAAGTTATGCATTCTACAACTACAGCCTAGGTAGACTACACCTAGACTAATTTTATTTCCTCAAATAGAGAGCTACAACTAAAGCAAAGTTACTGACCAAAATTATTGATGGAAGCTGGTCAGCTGCTCATTAGCTTTAATCTTAATTTCAGATCTGCTTCAAGATGGCTTTGGAGAACGCTCTTTCTACTACCGTTGTGCCGCAGAGGTTCCAAGGGAGGCGCAAACAGAAAGCAAGCTACGTATTTCTCAAATACTGATATTTAGGACTGCTACAAATAAAGCACAAAAAAGGTTACCAACACTTAAAACCGTGATAGCCTCAGTTTAGACCTATTATCTGACCACAGCAAGGCAAGCACATGGAATTTCTTTCAGTTGTTTCAGTAAAAGCAATCTCCTACAGCCCATATATGAAAGGGCAAAGAACTAATTACACCTTGAATACTGGCCCCACAGTTAAACTCAGAATGTTCAAATGCACGTCCCTTTCAAAACTTCCGAGTCGGTGATGAAACTTTTATTTCCTTCTCCTTCTACAACTTTTTAGTATGCACTGATATACTTACTTTTTTTGCAACACAAAATAGATCTGGCCATTAGACTTGAAAACATAAAGAAGTTTCTTCAATAAAAAAATTACTGTAACAACAAGATTGTCCAACTTTTACATTTCCTTCTCCTTAGCATTTCAGTTTGGTTTATACAATTGCTCTGGTCTACAAGAGCAGTGCATTAATACTGTGGTAAAACAAATAATACAGTAACTTCTAGAATGGTTTTGATGACAGTCTTTCTTGACGGTAGCTTACTATCAGCACGTATCTGAGCTTCGCTTCTTAGAATTTAAATAAAACGACACACAATCTAGTGCATATTAATGCGCCTTTTAAAAAGCGTAGGCTTTGTAGGACCCCACTTTCCTTTTAGATTTAAAATAAATTTTCTGTATTTTGTTATTCAGAAATACTCCAACTTTCACTACAAGATAGCTATACTGATGCATTAAAGTCTTTACATATTTGATAAGTTGGTCAAGAATCATAATCTGCCATTAAAATAGCCACATCGCTTACTCACACATTTTTTTGTAAGTAGTTACACTGTAGGTTACACCATATATTACATTATTTATGATTCTTGGATTGGCAAATTACTTTACCTGGAAGATCATCAGGGAGCCCTACTGAGGTAATTGTATTTGCTGTCTGCCTCCTCCTTTTAACGATATGTGTCATTCCTCCAGTATGGATAAAAGCCTTCTTTTTTCCAAGTTCTGAGCTACAGCATTCTTTAGAAGAAACTACCAAGAAAAGAAAATCAAAGCACTTCTCAAAATTTAAGACACACAAACAACTGAATGCTGAACATTAATATGCCCTGCGTGTTACTTCGGTGACTTCGTCCAGGAATGTATGTTTCAGTACTTCAGGGGCGAAGTTTTTTCCCCCAACATGAGTGAAACAGGTGTGACTTGTCATGTTTGCAAATTAGCTTTTAAAATGTGCTTATAGAGAAAAGGAATGGACAACTTGCCCTACAGATGAGACAACATAGAAAAGTTAAACTTAATTTTTAAAAAGTATCTCCTCACCCTTTATTTTCAGGTGCTTCACAAGGATATCACAAAATCAAGTATTACAATCAGGTTTACGTAAACAAAAATTAATATCAACAAGTTCCAAATTTCTAGATAAAGAATACAATCAATCATAAATAAAAAATGCATTAAAGTATTTCTGTATTATAAAAATAATCATGTAACCCAGTTCTTTAAGACATTGGATTTTTCAAAAATATGTAACTTATATCATATAAAAATTACAGTATACGTTCTTCCTTTTATTATATTCCTGCATTATGAAAGAAACTATATTGAACTTTCAGGTCAAGCTTTTAAGTTTAAGTGACTTAATGATATATTTGAGAGGCATTTCAAAGGGTTTCACTAAAACTAATAAAACCATGTCTTGCAATGCAACTTTTCCTCTATACTTATGGTCATTTTTCATTCTTTAACAGGTTTGTGTGTTGGGTCTGAAGTCTTAAAGAGATCAAGTCAGGCACGTATGTTTAAAATGAGGACTCACAAGCATGGCATAATGTAGATTTGATTTGCTTTTTTAAAGCCATTGCATAGCAGCTTTACTATAAATTATTAATACAGAGCTGTGGCTACAGTTCCTTGTAATTATCGGGAACAACCATCTGTAGAGTATTATAGAAACCGCGGAGCTTCAGATGTCTCAACTGGAGACGGTGGGCACCTTTTCAGATTTGACAAAGAAACACTTCACAAAATGGCAGCTGAGTAGTAAAGATTCACAGTCATCATTCCAATATTTGTACAGGAGCAGACTGGTAATCTGATTTGGGCTGCCTTCGTTTCAGCAAATACATTCCAGACCTCGCTATAATAACCTGCATCTTTTTTGGTACCTCTAGGAATTTCTCTTGTCATGTGTCTCACATGGGTGAGCAAGATGATGACTGACGCTAATAGAAGTGTATATTATCAAAGAACGATTATACGGTATCGTATTCCAGGTTTTACTAAAAAATTCCTTCCCACTACTAGTAAATCTGTTCTCCAGGACAGAGAAATACCAGCTGAGAGATTGATTATGGTCTTTCTGAAAGCAGAGAACACACCCAGCCAGGACACAAAACTTTCCATATTTTTTCCGTGCCTTTTCTTTGGCTGCAGCTAGGGTAACAGTCATCTTATAGATATATTTGTTTTAGTGCCGAAACACAAGCCTCTAATTTTAGTCCCAGCTTTTCCACTGTGTTGGGGTATTAAACAAAAACTGTTGATAGAAAACAAACAATAAAAAATTACCCTCTCTTGTAGATAAGAATGAGACAGAGAAATCTAAACTGGTAAGTGGTGCTTAGTTGCCAGCCGGGTTAAACCACGATACCAAAGAACAAAACTAAAAAGCGGCAGTAATAGACAAACCCCGTACAGAATAAACCTGTGCTGGCTCACTCCTCTCGTCTACCAGAAGAAATGACACAGCACAGAGATACCATTTTATGAGCTCTAGAACTGTATTCCTCATATTGCTCATTCATCAAGGTGGGTGAGAGCAATAATTTTAAGTTATATCCCAGAAAATGTATCTGAATGACAATTTCACTCTCAGGCATAGTTCTATTACAATTTTGCCCTAAGGAGTAACTTGAGACTAAAATACAGCCTTAGGGACAGCTTTGTGTATCATGTCCATTTACAGCACTAACTTCTTGTAAAATCAGAGGTTGTAATACAAACAGCTTGCCTGAAACATTTACTTCTTGACTGCCTAACCACCACAGAGTCCAACGTATGCTTTGCAGACCAGACACTTTGATTTGTCTCATGAGATTTATAGAATCATAGAATGTTTTGGGTTGGAAGGGACCCCTAGAGGTCATCTAGTCCAACCCCCCCGCAGGAGCAGGGACACCGCTAACTAGATCAGGTTGCTCAATTTGAGTTGTAATGCCCCTAAAGCATGGAAAGGACCAGACTAGCCTTTGGCACTGCAGGCAGAGGGCAGCCTTTGAAGGCCTACTCTTGCCTGGGAAGGGCAGATGTGCTCGTTCCTTAACAGCTATCCAAGGCAGCTTCTCTCCCTGCTCCCAGAAGACTAATTCCTGTGCATCGTTTCCCACTGTGTACTGAAAAATGTCACCACAGTAAACCCCTACAACTTCCGTTCAAACCTGCATCATCTTACCTTTCTTGTTGACTTGTTGTGGTAGCGTATCCCTCAAAGGACATAAGTTAGAATTTAAATAGCACCTAGGAGTAGAGCAGATGGTTTTTCCTTTATGTTTTTTATCCAGAACCTGATCAAAGGGCCAAATACGGAAACAGATAATACAATTTCTGCCATCCAGTCTTGCACTTGAAAATGATCATCCCTTCACCATTTTCAGTTCCTGCCTTATGTCTTCATCCGTTTCCCTGGAAATGGGATATGAAACCCAGACATCTAATTTTTCTACTCCTCTCTTTATGATGGAACACTAAACGTGTCTTGTTCAGGAGCTCTGTGAAGATTGATTTCATATCCTCTGATTGCTGCCTGAATTCTGACAGTTTCCTGGGCCTTAAGAAATGATTAAAGAAACAAAACACATTAAATTCTAAGTCAGCTCTCCCAAGCAAGTTTAACTAACAGAATTATTCTTCTTTAAACTTCACATTTACTGATTTCACCTTCCACTGGACTCTGTATAACCAAGTCCAACACTTTGCCTGAAATTTGGATTCCAAAATACCAATACTTATCTGTTCCTGAACCATGACAAAAGCCTTACTTACTCTTTCATCATTTGTGCCTTGTGCACATTCCATTGTGCAGTTATCTCCTCAAAACTTCTACTAGTCCCACAGTGACACTAGGAATCCTGTTTGCCTGTACTTCACTAGTCATTTGCCTTTGCATTAGCACCCTTAGATGAAGGTTCTTATGGAGAACAGGAGCAAATACCCCTTTGTATCCCAGTGCTGAGAATACACTCATATGAAGCAGCATTTCTTTTCAGGTTTAAGTCTTCTAACCAACCTATGTTTATATAGGTTGTTCTTGCTTCCCCCCCTCACCTTTACAACAAAGCACATATTTTCATTAAATGAAAAATAAGAGAATTGAACAGATCAAGGGACAAACTACCAGCAGTGTCCTTTTGCAGTTGGTATATTAGGGAAGTGCCAGAGTAGATCCAGATGAGGTTACCTCTAGGCAGCGGGCTGATTATCATTGTGTACTGATAAGGAGTTGTACTTTGTTCAAGGAAGACCACCAGACCTATTCCAACCCTTCTAAGACTGCTTTGAAGAGAAATGGAGGATGAACAGAAGTAGAGTGACATACACAACGATAAAAGCAGTGCTTGAAAGTTTCAACCTAGGAAACTTAATCAATTGCTAACTTCAGTCTTATGGAAAAAGACGGAATTTCACAGAAATCCTACCACGATCAATTGGTATTGCATACAAACTTCTGGGAAGAAAATGTTGGTTGCCTATTACTTCCACATTTTTAATATTTGTCAGCACTTTAAACCTTAAAACTACAGAAGGTTTCCAACTTCCTAAACATTGCTATATAATGCATTCTATATAAATTCAAACAGTACCGGTTTCATGGATTAAGCAATTTGCATACAGTTCTTCAAAGTATAAGAAGTAGGTGAAAACTAATTGTCTATAAAGGATGTTTTAGAGATCAGTTGTGTGGTTTTTCCCAACTAAAGTGGCATTTAAACACACAAGAAGCACGCAGAACAAGAAGTTGTTTCCATTCACCTTTGTGAAAGAGGCAAACAACAACAAATGACTTTGCAATGAAAAAAAAAGTGACTTGTTTATACAAGCATTAAAGATAATGCTATTCGTATGTTATAACAACCACCTTTTTAAGGGTAGTCAGACCAACAAGAAGTTGCACTTCATTCCAGACCTGAGAGAGAAAAGACCAAGAAGCCTCTGCAAACCCCATCCGTCTCATTCTTCTTTTAGATCAATGAACATCTGAGCCGAAGTATAGAGATATGTTTACATTTTCAAATATCCTTTGTGAAGTGACATTTATTAACAAGCTTGGCACAGAGAAACCTCATTGTGAGAAGACACTGACAAATCTCATGTTCTCAGTGTCTCGCTAATGACACTGACGATGAGTGAATTCTCACTGCTTATCGGTAGTGAGAAACAAAACTTTCAGTGAACAGAATCATGTAAGTCAACAATACAAACTGGGATATAAGAAAATACCTGATTAAATTATACTTCACAGAGTATGTATTGTAAGGATTATTCCTTCCCTTCTTCCCTCCCCCTTATCCGTAATACTTTCCAAAGATTTGTAAGCAGATTCATCTTAGCTTCTAGTACTGTACATATCCACATCTTCTGGGCTGGACTGACCATGGTCCATAAGTTTTGGATCAGGCTTGAATTTTGGTGTCTTCACCGTTCCTGTTAGGGATAGCAAGAAATTTAATTAAAAAATACATATATATTTGAGCTGTAGGAAAAAAAAAAAAGCTTATTGACACATTTTGAGAATTACTGTATTATCAAACACAAATGATCAAAATATGTACGTTCAAGTTAAAACTGTTCGATACACGATGATGAAGGCATGTTGTAATTATTAGTGTACAGCAGCAGATGGAAAGCAGGTCTTCCTTCTGCTCTAATACTTCAATACTACTTCCTGAAAACCGCAGGGCGAGAGAAGTAGCAACGATGCTTTGCCCTACACATGGAAAGGAAGGGAAAGTTTGGGACATGGAAGAAAAATCTCCAGTCTTTCTTCCCCCACTGCTCCCAGGAGCACAGCCTCCTCCCAAAACCATCTGAATCAGCATCTTCCCTGAAGCTGCTGCCAGATGGTAAGAACTCCAAACTAAGACAAACACTCTTACCTAGTTTCACTTCACGACTTCCAAAACCAGTGAACTAAGGTTACCAAAATGTTGAGGCCTCATACTCATCCTGAATGACAAGGGACAAAGACTGACATTTTTACTGATACCGTAACTCCAGAGGACCTAAGGGAATATAACAGCAGGTTTTCTAGGACTGTGCCTCCTACTACTAATCTGCTCCTTTTCCTGCTACATCAGTTGGTTTACTAAAGGGTGCCATGTTCTCCCGAAAGCTCTGCCCTGATGCATTCTATATAAATTCAAACAGTACCGGTTTCATGGATTAAGCAATTTGCATACAGTTCTTCAAAGTATAAGAAGTAGGTGAAAACTAATTGTCTATAAAGGATGTTTTAGAGATCAGTTGTGTGGTTTTTCCCAACTAAAGTGGCATTTAAACACACAAGAAGCACGCAGAACAAGAAGTTGTTTCCATTCACCTTTGTGAAAGAGGCAAACAACAACAAATGACTTTGCAATGAAAAAAAAAGTGACTTGTTTATACAAGCATTAAAGATAATGCTATTCGTATGTTATAACAACCACCTTTTTAAGGGTAGTCAGACCAACAAGAAGTTGCACTTCATTCCAGACCTGAGAGAGAAAAGACCAAGAAGCCTCTGCAAACCCCATCCATCTCATTCTCCTTTTAGATCAATGAACATCTGAGCCGAAGTATAGAGATATGTTTACATTTTCAAATATCCTTTGTGAAGTGACATTTATTAACAAGCTTGGCACAGAGAAACCTCATTGTGAGAAGACACTGACAAATCTCATGTTCTCAGTGTCTCGCTAATGACACTGACGATGAGTGAATTCTCACTGCTTATCGGTAGTGAGAAACAAAACTTTCAGTGAACAGAATCATGTAAGTCAACAATACAAACTGGGATATAAGAAAATACCTGATTAAATTATACTTCACAGAGTATGTATTGTAAGGATTATTCCTTCCCTTCTTCCCTCCCCCTTATCCGTAATACTTTCCAAAGATTTGTAAGCAGATTCATCTTAGCTTCTAGTACTGTACATATCCACATCTTCTGGGCTGGACTGACCATGGTCCATAAGTTTTGGATCAGGCTTGAATTTTGGTGTCTTCACCGTTCCTGTTAGGGATAGCAAGAAATTTAATTAAAAAATACATATATATTTGAGCTGTAGGAAAAAAAAAAAAGCTTATTGACACATTTTGAGAATTACTGTATTATCAAACACAAATGATCAAAATATGTACGTTCAAGTTAAAACTGTTCGATACACGATGATGAAGGCATGTTGTAATTATTAGTGTACAGCAGCAGATGGAAAGCAGGTCTTCCTTCTGCTCTAATACTTCAATACTACTTCCTGAAAACCGCAGGGCGAGAGAAGTAGCAACGATGCTTTGCCCTACACATGGAAAGGAAGGGAAAGTTTGGGACATGGAAGAAAAATCTCCAGTCTTTCTTCCCCCACTGCTCCCAGGAGCACAGCCTCCTCCCAAAACCATCTGAATCAGCATCTTCCCTGAAGCTGCTGCCAGATGGTAAGAACTCCAAACTAAGACAAACACTCTTACCTAGTTTCACTTCACGACTTCCAAAACCAGTGAACTAAGGTTACTAAAATGTTGAGGCCTCATACTCATCCTGAATGACAAGGGACAAAGACTGACATATTTACTGATACCGTAACTCCAGAGGACCTAAGGGAATATAACAGCAGGTTTTCTAGGACTGTGCCTCCTACTACTAATCTGCTCCTTTTCCTGCTACATCAGTTGGTTTACTAAAGGGTGCCATGTTCTCCCGAAAGCTCTGCCCTGTCTGGACTAGTGAAAATAAACATCTCTGACAACACAGATTAATTTAGAGCATGGACATTTTTGGGTGTATTAGGGACATGAAGTAATGCCACCCATGAAAGCAAAGACAGAAGATATCTATATACATAAAACCTTTTAAGGCA